TTCTCGAGTCTCTGTGCCTCAGCTCTCCTTTTCTTGGAATTTTCAACTTTGTTGAGCCTTTGGAAACCCACAAGTTGCCTGCTCTATGGTCCCCTTTGGTGATGCTCTGGTTCTTATTCTTCCCAAAGGAGAAGACTTTATGGAGCGAAGGAAGGTCTCATGCAGACATCTTCCAGTGTAGTGAAATCTGTGATTTTTAGCACTCGGGAGGCTGAGGCAGGAGGATCATGAGTTTGAGACTGCCCTGGGCTACAGTGCAGGCCTTTATTGATGTGCATTCAGCAACATCCAGCAACACCCAGGGTTTCCCCAGGAAACTGGTAAGCAGTCACTGTCAATCAATCTGTTCACTGCTGCTTTTGAACTTCAAACAGTCACTTCAGTAAAGCTGTTAGGCCCAGCAGCTGGTTACTTCCTTCCCAACGCCTGCTTTCTGGTCAGCAAGGTGGCACCTTCTGGATCTGGGGGTGGCTGCAGTCAGCCTTCCTGCAGGTGGTAGGGATGGACTTCAGCTCCTCTCCCCAGGGCACCCTTCCCTCATGCTAATGAGGCCTTGCACCCCACTTCTCATAAGCATTGCTGGTCCTTGGCACTCTCTTGTCCGGGTGTTTGTGTTCTCACACTGGTCCCTGCAGATGCTGGCGTCAGCGCCCTGGGGTGGAGGTGATGAGATGGCCTGTCGCTCAGAGGTGAGGCAGCCTGAACAAAGCTCCCTTCTGCTTGGGCTCACTGTCCACTCTAAAGGCTCCACAGCCAGGTCTCCTGATGTGAGTGAGCACTGTGGGAGGTGGCAGCTTGGAAAAACTCCTAGGCCCATGACTCACGGTCAGCTCTAGCTCCTGGCCTTGGCCACCTCTACCCTGTCTGGTGTTTCAGAACTCAAATTCTGAAAGTTAACTACTCTGTTCCCTCACAGTCACCCCTTTCACCAAGGGTGCCAGGTATACCTGGCATTGGCTTTCTCGTTTTGTGTTACTCACTCATATTTACCATCAAAATCCACTTGTGATTTGTGTCCCTCTCCCCAGTGGTTCAGTGATACTATTTACCTTTCATTTCTATATTCCTTCTGTAAATACCCAGAAAATGGAAACATTGCTCTGGGGAAGCCATCTTGCATAGAAATACATAATGTGAAGCACACGGTAGTCATTCCAACCAGAAGCAAAGTTGGCAGAGATCCCACAGGCAAAGTGATTGGCAATAAGAAAGCCTTTCTTACTACAGCAAGCATTCCAGAAAGGAGAGGAATGGACATATCTTAAAGGTGCTACTGCCAGACAGAAAGGCACTGCTTTAAATGGACTTTTCAGGTGACACATGTAGAACACACCTTGTCATCTTGCAGGGAGGGAGGTATACAGTCACCAAGTGCCAGCGCATCACACCTGTCTAGTAACGGGGAGGGTGCCAGTGGGATGCTGAATAGTTTCTTTACCACAGGAAACATCTGCTTCATGGTCACTGAGGAGTATAATGGTCTTATTGGGTGTGTTACTGGGGGCTGGGCTTCCATTATGGGTGAGGGAGATAATCTGAACTATTCACAGAACTTCCACTGAGGACACAGCCTGCCTCAGGATTCCCCTCCCTACTCTTGGTATACACAGGTTCAAAGGGAATTGCTCCAAATGTTTGAGAGAGTGAGCAGATGTTCTCACAAACCCACTATCAATGCTCTAAGGAGCCTCAAGCCTGGTTTTAAACATCCACTTGGACAAATTCGAAATTAAAAAGGGCAGCCAAGGTTAATGCCTCAGAAACTCAGTGTGGGAGCCATCCAGAGGACAAAGTAGCTTACAGAACCAAGCCATTCATATTGATAGAGTTATTTCTTAACAAAGCTTCAGTTTGTGTGTGTGTATGTGTGTGTGTGTGTGTGTGTGTGTGTGTGTGTGTGTGTGTGTGTGTGTGTACATGAATGTCACAGCATGCATGTGGAAGTTGGAGGAAGGCAGGGGTTGGTTCTCTCTTTCTACCAATCATATATCTGCATTCCAGGGACAGAACTCAGTTCTCAGGCTTGATGGCAAGGGCCTTTGCCTAGGGAACCATTTTGCCATCCTAACCATTTGTTTTTAACTCTGCTTCTGGGAGCTGATCTCCTTCTACATGTCTGAAGATAATGGTACACCTTTATCAATGAAGATGCAGGTTACTTATTATTTCCACAGCTCCGGGGCTACTCGTGAGTTATTAGCAAATGCTCGGGTATTCCTGCTTACATTGCTGATTTAGCACAGAGCAGGATGCTGGCTGTTGTGGCAAAACTCCTGAGAAAACCCACCTATAAAGAAGAAAGGTTGATTTTGGGTCATGGCTCCAGATTTCAGTTCATGGCCGCTTGGCTCCCTTGTGTTACAGCCTACAGGGAGCCTGAGCCTCAAGGTAGAAGTGGGGCAGATCACAGCTTGTTGCCTCCTCACAGCAGCTGAGGAAGTGAAAGGGAGGTACCAAGGCTCTAGTGTCCCTTTTCAAGGGCATTCCCCCAACGGCCTAACTTCTTCCTTTCGTCCACACCCCAAAGGTCCACCTCCCCACAGCTCTACAGGGTGCTAAGCAAGCCTTTAGTATAGGACCTTTGGGATCATTCGATATCCAAAGTGCAACATCCTGAGCCACTCTGGAGGAAGCTAGCGATGTCTGCTGTCTGATCCAAAAGCTGAGTGACAGACAGAAGCGACTAGAGTCAGAAACCCTCAGGGGATGTTTAGGCTCATCATGCCTAGTCCTGTCTGCCTCTTCATGGCATGCTGCTTTCTTATCTCAAGGGACCATGACGCCTTAAGCGTTTCGGTCTGTAAGCATAGCCTGCCTCGCTTCACTCTGCAGTAGGAGTGAGTGGGTGAGGGTGCAGCTCCCCGCTGCTATCCCAGATGAACTGGAATGTGAAGCTTATGTTTTAAAGGAAGTATCCATTTGTTCTCAAGGAATGATCACCTCAAATGTGATAGACGAATGCCATGTGGCTGCCATCTCCCCCCTCATTATGGTATGCGGCAGACATCACAAATCAATCCCTCATGCCATTTGTTTTCACTGAGCCTGGACTTGGCCTAGAATCCCACTCATTTTTCAGCCCTATGGTCAGCAACTTCTCTCCTGATCCCTGTTTTATTATTTTTGCTTACTAATTGTTATTATTATTAGAATGTGTGTTGTGTTCATATGTATGGGCATATTGCATAATTGGAAGTCAGAGGTTGACACGGGTGGCCATTCTCAATCACTTTCCACCTTATGTTTGAAACTTGCTCTGTAGACCAGGCTGGCCTCGAACTCAGAGATCCTCCTACCTCTGCCTCTGGAACGCTGGGATTAACGGCATGCACCACCACCACCCAGCCTATTTATTTTTCTTAATGCGATCTATTTGTATCCTTTGGTCCCTTACTCTATATCTAACACCAAGGTCTATTCCCTTATTTGGCCACTTCCTCCTCCTGAGGCTGAGCACCAATGTCCAGCTATCAAAGTATTGAAATCCAGCAACCCAAACCCCCTTTGGCTCACCTAATTAACATGTCCAAATAAAATTAAACACCTCATCCTAACATGGGGTTTCCCCTTTTATGTTCATAAACTGCCATTTGCCTATGGGCCAGATTGTAGGCTGGTTATCATTGACTTAACAGCTAATATCCACATGTAAGTGAATTAATATCATATTTCTCTTTCTGGGTTACCTCACTTGAGATTATTTTTTTCTAGTTCCACTCATTTGCCTGTGGTAACAGGTTATGGAATCCCATAGGGGACAAACTCATGAGGTGGGCATTGATCCCCCAAAATGGACCTCAACTTGTTCAGGACTAGAAAGTGATATCACATATTGTAGTGCCACAGTCTGGACACCCTTAGTCATCAACAGAGATGGGAAACTGAGTTCCTATTGTAGGCACCTGTCTGAGAAGCACAGGAGTTGGGGGCTTGGCACAGGAAGCTTCAGGGAACTAATGTGTTTTAGAAAGCCTGTACCAGGATCACCTTCATCTTGGAAGAATGTTGGGGGCCTCAGCTTTTCAGGGTTCTAGGTGACATCAGTCAAGAGAGTATGTTTCTGAGCTCTGCAGGAGCCAGCAGGCTCCTAAGACCCTGCCATACAAAATCACCCCCCTCTACCTATGACTGCCAGGACTGTCATTTTAGCCCGAGAGGGGCCTGCTCTTGATCTCAGCCCCCTCCTTTAGCACAGGTAACCCCTCTTGAGGGGATCTCAGTGGGTCTAGTTTTGTGAGACTTCTTTGCCTAGGATCATATTCATGGCTCATCTTCTAAGGGTTTCAATCATTCCAACAGACAAGAACAAGATGCAAAGACATTTTCTGCATCTACTGGTTCAGGGTTCTGATTAGTGTGATGAGAAACACTTGCACATGGGTCAGCGAGAGTGCTCAGCGGATAAAGGTGCTTGCCATTAGCCTGACAACCCGAGTCCTATTCCCTGACCTCACGTGGTGGAAGGAGAGAATCAACTCCTAAAAGTTATCCTCTGACCGCTACCTGTGCACCACAACACACATGTGCACATGGGTACACACACACACACACACACACACACACACACACACACACACACACACTCCCCTAAAGACCACTTGTGTGCTTGGGATCAACGAGTTGGGCTCTAAGAACTTGTATTTTGTATTTCTGCAGCTCTTTGTTATAACCCCAATCCTCGATATTGGAAAATTGAATCTTGGGATTGTTTTGTCATTTTTAAAGACAGCACAGGCACAGTTAGGTGGTGGGTACCCCAAGTAGCTCACAGCTTACTGTTCTTTTATGGACAATGAGAGGTGAGATGTAGGTCAACACAGAGACCTCCCCGCCCCCATGAGCTTTAGTCTTTGCAAGAAGATGTGGTGAACGCAGTCATGAGCAGTGTCCCTGGTCCTGCAGTCCGCCATGTTCCCATCACACCCATTTTGTCCTGTATGTGTCCCTGCCCGCAGACCTCAGCATCCACCCGAGACAGGTGTGGGGTGGCAGCCACTCACCTTCACACTTGAGCAGGAAGAAGTCCATGTTGTGGCTGAAGGAGGCACTGAAGTAGGTGCAGTTCTCTACTAGGTCGCAGGACAGACACTGCCTGTTGAAGTCATCGACTGTGTTGGCACTGGAGGAGCAAAGAGCCAGTGAGAACGGTGGCAGGGAAGGAGTGATCACAGACATCCAGCCCTGAACTCCCCAGCAGGGACCTCTCCTCTGAGACTACCCTGTCACTCCTGCTGCCAACCCCTTAAGCTTCACTCCCATCAACACTCCTTTGGTACTTAACTCCGCTCCCGAGAAGCCTTCCTAACCCATACTTCCTCCAGACTCTGGAGACCTCTCAGTTCTTCCGGCCCTGGATGGCAGCTGTCTGACCCATCAGTAAAACTGCAGGCTAGGTGTGACCAAGGTGTGGAGACTGCATTTATGGATGCCATTGCCCAGCCTGGTCATGGGTACTATCACATGGCCATGGTTACCATTCATCATCCAGTGGGGGCCATGGTTACTGTCAGCTGGTGCTGTCCTGGGTACCCTCACCTGGTGGTATTGTGGGCACTATTACCTAATGAAGTCATGGGTGCCATCACTTTGAATAATCACGGGTGTCTACAGTGGTCATGGGCATGATCACAGGGAACTTTCTACCCATGTGAGTGACTCTCAGAACAGGTGATTGGCCGTCTGGGAACAGTGGAGAGTTCTATATTCCTTGAGTGCCAAGTGCAATAGGAAGGAGCTCTGTGAATGTCAAGGAACTCGTATCGAATGTTTCCAGAGCCCAGTTCTCCTGACAGCAGAAGGCTGGTGATGCTGCTTCTTGCTTGAGGATGAGGGGAGTGAGAGACACCGACTTAAGACGCCACCTGGGGCCACCTTGGTCAGGTTTAATCTAGATCAGGAAGTTGCTGTCTTCACATGGCACTGGGAAAGTTCCTCTCTGAGCATAGGCCCCAGCATGGAGCTTTTCTCCCTGAGAATGAAGATGTCATGGGAGAGAGATGCTACGGGTTACAGGAGAGGGGCAGCCGGCTGCCTTCCTGCTTTTTATACACTGGGTAGCCTGATGTTCATGATATAGGCTTATAGTGGCAAACAGTCTACAGAGAGAAAGAAGCAGGTCCATGATAGCAAGGCCCTTCCCACTCATGGCAGCCTTATACTCAGCATGGATTCCACTGGCTGGCGGGGAGACCTCTGTGTTCTGGGGACTTCTCTGGCTTCTCTGGTCCACACTGCCCAAGGCCCCTTCCAGTGGCCACTGTATACTCAGGGAGAAGCCAGCTGCAGCTCTCCTAGTTAAGAAGTGTCCAGAAACACCCACTGTTCCTCCTTTCCTCTAAATTTGTAGGAACCAAGTTTACCTCAGAACAAAGCCCTCTCATGTGACACCAGTAAGGGGTAGTTAACAGGATGAACTGTTGAGAGGGTGATCTTAGATCTGGTCCCTTTCTGGGTTCCTAGCATGCCCACTCATTTTATACATTATTTGAGGTCATGGAACTTGGGCCATGACCTCACACAGCCAGCCAGCATGCAGCTTGAAGGGACATGGCAAAGCCAGCCTCCTCTCCACTCAGTCACTGGTCCATTCCCAAACCAGATGCAGCTGTCCTCAAAACACACAGATGAGGGCGGTCTGCCAAGGTAACACTTGAATACAGGAGTAAGACAGGCAGAGTTCTTCAAGAGGAGAAAAGAAGTGTGTGTGTGTGTGTGTGTGTGTGTGTGTATACACCAATTTGACCAAAGCAGAAACAAGACTTGAGGCCTTGGGTCTGGTGGCTTCTGCACTTTTTACTCTTCATGGCTTTCTAGGTACTCAGCTGCCCTCGCTGCCTCCCATCTGCTGTGGAGCTGTGATCCTGTGAGGCCAGGAGGCCCCGCTGGCCTGGGAGTCAGTTACCTGTAAAGTTGTCGTCTTCGTGGCAGGTCCTCTGTGCTCAGGAAATAGCTGTGGACATGGGTAAGGTACACATGGTTAGCTTGCCCCAGGGCACATTTGCAGGCCACAAGCCCTACCCTAGCATCTTCACAGTGCCTCTCAGGGACCGTGGCCTATAGAATGAGCAACGCTCATGTTAGGTCTGGCAGCACTCATGACCACAGCAGGGGAAGGCCAGGTGTTATAGGCAGAGGGACACACTGTCAACATCAGGTATCTCCTGCGCCGATCCTGGCCCCAGAGCTCTTGGTCCTGATGTAGTAGTGAGGGCAGTGGCAGTACACACCTAGATGTGAACATGCGGGTCTGCCTACAGATTAGTAACCTCCTGGTGGGCAAGGACTAGAGAAGACTTTATATGATCCCATAAAACCTGGTCTGCTGGTTTTCTCCTAAGTCTGAGAGTGCCCCCTGGGTGAGCAGTGAGGCCGAGCAGCATCAGGTACAGGGCTGGGCCTGGATTCCGACACAGTGAAATCTGGCTACCCCCTGTTAGCCACTGAACAATCCAGAGAAAGCAGCTTAATTTCTTTGCATCTTGGTATTTATTTTTATTTCATGTGTGTATGTGCACATAGGTGCCTGCTTGTGTGTATGCAGGTGTATGTGTACACAGGCGCACATGTGTGCACTTGCCTGTAGAGGCCACAGGCTGACCTTGGGGATCATTCTTCGGGAGCTGTTCATCTGGTTTCTTCTGAGACAGGATCGCTCACTGGGACTTGGCTCACTGATTAGACGAGACTTGTTGACCAGCAAGCTCCAGGGCCCCACTTCCCCAGCACTGGGGTTACAAGCACATGTCACCACGCCTGGCATTTTATGGGGGTCCTGGGGACTGAACTCAGGTCCTTATGCTTGCACAGTGAGCACTTTAACAACGGAACTGTCTTCCCAGCACATGTCTTAGTTTGTCTTTAAATGGGCAAGCATACCTATCCTAACATACAACCATAGTATTAGTGAGATGTGCTGGGGACACCCTCAGCCTGTGCCCAGGTCTACAGAGACTCAGTAAACAGCTATTAGAGAGAAACAATCTCTGTGATCCATGTCGCCTCACTGGTCTGTGGAAGCTTCCCCATGTCATGGTGCCTTGTAGCTTTGGAAGTTGGCTGAGTCAGTACCTCGGCTCACCATGAAGCCAGGGGTGAGTGCTATGATCTCCAAGGGCAGAGGAGGCCTCCTGAGCTGCGCTTGCCCTCTCCCAGTATATCTGACTAAAAACAAGTGGGGCTGCTAGCAGTGAGAGACAGCTCCTGGGACCCAGCCCCCGGTTCTCACTTACATCTTATTCCGCTTCTCATCATAGGACAGGATCTTGGTCACATCCCAGTCCCCAGAGGTGATGGACTGGATGTTGTCATTGCTGCTGTTGGGCTGAAATACAGACAAGATGTGAGGAAGGAGACACTGGGCTCCAGCTTCGGTGCCTCATTCTGGAGCCTGTCAGAATGGGGCCATATCCACCCCCTTCCTGCTTCTCTTCCGTGTGGCCTGGCTTGAATTCAGCATTCTCTGTGATGCTCACTCCCTGGTCTGAGTGTCACTAATGGCAGTATCACATGGTCCCTCTGTAGGGCTTGTTCCTGGTACCTCATCCCACATTCTACAGATGCACACTTAAGGCCAATGCACTTGTGAATTTAATGTTTGTGTTAGGACCCAGGATGGAGGAAAGAGAGTGTGTAGGGGAAAGGATAAAATCAGGCAAAATCAGGAAGGAGTTGGGAGGAAGAAACTCAGTAGTAGTTCTTCTGGCTGTCGCTGTATTCCTTCCTGGGGTCCAGGTGCCACAGTCCAGGACTGTGACTCCTGCTCAGCTAGCGTACTTCTCAAGTGTCTCCCAGAGCCCTATACTGCAGTCACACAGGACCTGCCATCATAGCTCCAGGTGCAAGCAGCATTCAAATTTCAGCTGGGATGCTGAGGTGCAGCTGTGGGTGGCTGTTCTGAATGGTATATACTCTGGGGAGCCAGTGTGGAGGGGATGGAGCCTAACTCAGGTGATGGAGGCCAATACTTGGGACTGCTGACCTAGGAGCAGGCTGTGTGTGTGTGTGTGTGTGTGTGTGTGTGTGTGTGTGTGTGTGTGTGTACCTGAGTGTAGATGTGGATTCAGGAAGGCAGTGCAGCCTCAGGCAGTCCTCAGCTTGGAAGCAGAGGCCAGGGCAAGAGTGTGGGTGTCTGGAGCAAGGTAGGAACCACTTTCTGAAGGATGCTAAGGGGTTCTCAGCAATTTCTGATCATCTGCAACAATTTAGAAACTGGGACTGAATGCAAGCATCAAAAAATTTAAATCTTGCTTGAAACAGCCCCAGTGAGAACGTGAACAAATCAAATGAGGTTTTGGATATCCTGTAAGTCATGTGATTGAGAGGCTAGAAAACAGAAATGCCTGCCTAAGCTGGGAGTAGCCATCATTCCCACCCAAGGCATTTCCGTGCCCTTCTCTCCTCCCTCCCAGATGTTTCTTGAGGGGATGGTCCCGTGGCCTTTCTTCTGGGTCCACCACCATATACATGCTCCTCCCACTTCCTACCCACAGTGTTTCTAAACAGCCTTCTTCCTAATTACATTCTATACACTTGCCCTCATTCTTGATCACCTCAGTCAGCTTTAAAATAAAGTCTTCACACAGAGGATGGGGTTGGTGACACAGAGTGCCAAGCACACGCCTGTCCCTCCCACCATATGTCTCAGGACAGAGGTCTCAAAACTCAGCGTCCAGGCAGCTCTCCGGTGGCGACAGTGCTTGCAGACAGGCATTCACCAGATATCCTCTTCCCCGCTCATCCACACCTATCCTAAGCTGCCTGACAAGAGCAGGTGAATCTGAGTGGCAGCTACGGTATCATTAAGGTCAGATATGCTTCTGGCTCAGGGTAGAGGCAGTACTGTGGTTAGAAGGAGACTCATAAAAGACTTGGAGCAGAAAGTGGTCTTGAGGGAAGGGAAAGTGTCAGGACGGACAGACAAGTACTCAGCGGTCATCTTGAATCCTCATTGCTACCCACCTATGAGTTCCTGTATCCCTCTACTGTTGCTAGAAATGTCATATTCCATGTTCATGTTCTTGAGTATCAGTAAAAATTTAGACTCCAGTCACTGCCCTGCTCAGAGCCTCTGCACTTAGACAAACATCATGCCGCCCTCACCCTTGGAATCCATCCATGAACATCAATCTCCCAAGGCCCCTTGAGGTCCTGGGAAGGGTGAGTGTGCTCCTCCGGAGGCCAGGACCAATAGCACAGCAGCATAGAAAGCAGTGGGACTTACCTGGGATGATGACACGGTGATATGGTAGAATTTCCCCCGTCCCCCTTGTGGGATCGCTCTGACAAAGAAAAACTTCCGGCCATCCTTGGAGAACACGGGCTCCTCATTCTGTGGACAAAGATGATAAGCCCATCAACACAAAACTGTGTGGGAGCATGGAGAGTGAGTGGGGAGAAGGGCACCCTCAGGTATTCCATGTGTGATTTCTAATGACAGAGGGAGCTGTGGGGGTCTGTGGGTCTGTGTGGGGCCTTCACTCTCTTTGGGACTAGAGAGTCAGACCTTTGGTTTTCTAAAAGCAGAGGGAAAAAGGGGCACCTAAATTCACAGACTAGGGCTGGAGATGGCTCAGCCGTGCAAGCATGAGGACCTGGGTTCAGATCCCCAGAACCATGTAAAAAGCAAGGAGCTGTAGCAAGGGTCTATAACCCTAGTGTTGTGGAGCAGAGACAGGTGGATCCCTTGAGTTTATTGGCCAGTCAGCCTAATGTACTTGGTCAGCTCCAGGTTCAGTGAGGGAGCCTATCTTAAAAAATAAGGTTGAGAGTATCTGAGGAAGACACCTGATGTCAACATCTGGCCTCCACATGCACATACACATACATGTTTGTGCATACTACACAAACATGTACATGTACCCTACACACACACACACACACACACACACACACACACACACACACACACACACACACAGTTGCAAAGACACATCCAAAGGGCAGTTACGCCCAGTGTGCAAAGATCAGTGAAGAAATGGGCTTGTGCACACATCAAACACACCTCACGAGAGGGAACTAGGCCTGGGGACACATAGGACTTCAAGAGCTGCTGTGAAAGCTGTGAGCATGCAAAGCTGCTGTACTGACTTTTATCATACACCAGCCCAAAGGCAACTGGGGGAATAGTCACAGACTGCACTTTTTCCTCTTCTAATCCTGTCTTCTATTCTTCTCAATAAAATCACACTGATTCACCCATTGAGGAGGCAGTCAAATGGATCAATTGTATCTATTTTAAAATGCAGACAGCAGAAAGAGCCCTTATGGGCCCAGCTCTCACTAGGGACATCCCGAAGAGGTAAGTACTAGATGGTGCATCCATCTGAACAATAGTCACTTCTCCCTGAAATCAACCCTGGGGTCAGGGCTACCAACTGGATATAAGACCCGAGGGGTATCCTGTTACCATGCTCTATTCCTGGCACCCCAACAGCTGAGCAGGCAGGGACTGGCAGCTCTTAGCCTGCCCTAGGGGGAAGTGGCCACCGATGGGCAGAGAGTGATTTTGGTACAGGAGCATCTCTGCCACACTCTGAAATCAGAGTCTGGAGGTTCCCATTAGTAAACGCCAACTAGCTGGCTCCTCCAGTTATGGCTAAGGTGTATCTATATTGTGATTCAAGAGGCTGCCTGATAATGCAGGGATGAGAGCAAACAGTAAACAAAACGCAGCTGGCCCAGGAAAAACTCATTTCCCCACAGTGAAGGAACACACGCAAACACGATGTGCTCGGAGAAATGAACTAACATGTGATTAAAATGACATTTAATCTTCATGAATATTTGCAATAAAATGAAACCTTTAATCTGCAAATATTGATTTTCCTATTTAGAGTTGGGAGTGTGGTATTTAACAGGAGAGGGAGTGGAAAAGATCAGCAGTTAATTTGGCTTTTTAGATGGACTTCTGTTTGCCAACCACGCGATGGACGAGGCAATAGTCCCCTAGTTTTCTGGGGGAAATGTTTGCACTTTGGACAAAGATTAAAAGTAATATGATTGATTCTGGACAGAAGCATTGTACCCATATTGAAGAGGCCTCAGCTTCTGAGGTCATTGGTCCACTGCTTTCCAGGACCTTCCAGAATGTGCCGAGGAAGGCATCTGCCAGTCTTTGGAAACTTGCTCATGTAGTAAACGTGTGTGTGTGTGTGTGTGTGTGTGTGTGTGTGTGTGTGTGTGTGTGTGTGTGTCTGTGTGTGTGTGTGTGTGTGTGTGTGTGTACATTGGAGACCAGATGCCAATCTTGGCTGTTTTCCCTCAGGACACTGTCCACCCTGTGTTCTGTGATAGGGTCTCTCACTGGACTGGGACGTGCTGATTTGGCCAGGCTGAATGGCCAGTGAATCTTAAGGATCCTCCTGTCTTCACTTCCCGGTGTCGGGATTGCAAGCTTGTAGCCAGAAGTTTCTTCAGTCCCACCTGGCCCCTGCAGTCCCAGAGCCACTTATGAAATAATTACTCAGAGGCTTAATATTAATCACAAACTGTATGGACCATGGCTTCTTGCTAGCCAGCTTGTATAACTTAACTCAACCCATTACTATTAATCTATGTATTGCCACGTGTTCCATGGTTTTATCTATGTCCCATTACATTACATGTTGCTCCATGAATGGCGGGCTGGTGTCTCCTCCAACTCTCCTTTCTCCTCTTACTATCTCTCTTGGATTTTCCTGCCAGCCTCCATCTTCCCCTGCCATAGGCCAATGCAGCTTTATTAATTAGCCAATGGGAGCAACACATATTCACAGCATACAGAAAGACATCCCATAGCACAAGCTTGTCCCACAATGCCTTGTGTTTGTTTGTATGGATTCTGGGGGTTGAACTCAGTTCTCCATGCTTACATGGCAAGCCCTTTACTGGCTGAGCCACCTCCCCAGTCCAGTAAATAAACTTTTAGTGGCAAAGTGCACGGCTTTTTTGAAGTGAGCACTGGGATCTTAATACCAGTTCTGCCTCTTGTTTGATGTTAGGGGATGATGGTTTCCTTGCTCAGCTGCCCGACTGGCCCAACTCCACAGCCAGCCTTCCAGGAGTGCAGTTTCTGTGTGGCTTCTGCCAGTCTCTTCCATTGCTCCTGTCCTCTAACTTTCTAGCCCAAAGTTTGAAATCATAAAACCAAATATCTGGCTAAATATGTAAGACAGCCAGAAACTCACCCACAAGACTAGCTTCAGCCAGGCTGCAGTTCTGAGTTCAACACCCAAGTGTGCTGGGGCTGGAGGGCCGTCATGGATCTGCACCAGGGCCAACTTGCCAGTCTGGCAGCAGTGATGGGCATGCATGTGGCCAGGAGAAATTTACTATTTCTCTAGCATATTCTTAGAGGGGAGGGCCCTTGCTAGCCGTATGCATGCCTATGACCCATTCCTTTTGGCTTCTGGGGTTCTCTGTGGGGTCCCTTGTGAAGCTCCAGGAAGGAGATGGAGAGAGAAGAGCAGGGGATGAGGTCTGGGCATGCAGATGGCTATGATAACTCGAGGCTGGTAGCACTGCTGCAGGCCAGCCATCCTGCTAGCACCACAGTGGGGAAACTGTCCACTGGAGCAGACAGGATCCCCCTGGGTCTACATGGCCGTCTGGGATGTGTGCAGCAAGCTGTTGTAACACACAGAAGGTGGATGGACCGTGGAGTGTGGCCTCAGTGTATCTCCCTAAGTCATGCCTGTAGCCTCTGATGAGAAATGCTCATGATCCTGAAGGGGCGGCCAGTGGCTTCCTGGCAGCTGATGGCAGCCCAGTCTTACATAGGCTCCTATGATGCCCTGCAACACCATAGCACCACAAAGGATGCAGAAGGATGCAGATCAATTTCAAAAAAAATAGTGTCCATGAATCCCTTTAGGGAAAAACAATGCACTGGGAAGCTATTTGAAATTGAATTTCTCTGGAGCTTACGTAGTATGACCCCCTTATAGAGTCTCAGACCATGGTATGTAGGTAGTCAGCCTCACCATGGCTTGTCACAGCATCCCTGGCCAACCCATAGGGTTCCAGATCATGATGTGTAGATGGTCAGCCTCACAGTGGCTTGCATTGGCAGCCCAGGATGGAACACACCTATCCAGTGCGAATGGATGGGCTGCCTGAAGGAGCCACACAGTGTCTCAGAGACAAGTGCTCCTGTAGAGAACACGGTGCTTTAATAAAACACTTAACAAGATGGGCCTTTAGTGCATCCATGGCTCTGTGCAGCCACCTTCTCTAGTTCTAGTTTCTCACACATTTAAAGTGATTGCTTCCTCAAATATCAGCTACTTGCTTGGTGAATTAGAAATTTGCATTTTGAAACAGTAAAAATAATGAATTTAATGCCACTATTCCTCCGTATTCAAGCTGCTGGGGAAGGGCCTGGTTTCCTGAGTGCTGTTTGGAAGTTCAACCTTCACGCTCCATGTCCGAGCTGGTGGCTTTCTCCCACATGGTGAGATGTTCAGTCAGAAAATACAGGAAAATGCAGCTGGTGTTGGCTCTGTGGCCACTCTGTGATGTTGAAGAGGAAGACAGTGAAGGACAGCTGGAGGATTCGTCCCCAGACCTGCAGGACAAGGCAGTGTGTCCGTCCAGGGACTGGAGTGAGACCAGATAGGAAGTAGCTGCTCAGGGGAAGTCCCTTGGGGTAGAGTGCTAGGACACTGAACTATCCCCCATGCCCAACATACTTCTAGCAGGGCTTTTTGGGAGCTTGTTCTTACTTCCTTTCAAACCCGGCCTGTGTAATTTCTCTGTGCTTGCTCCATGCCCCACCCCCAAATTTCCTGGTTTCCCTCTTGTCAGAGGCAGAACACCAAAACACAGCTCCTGAGCCTAGTCCACTCCCATGCCTGGGATTTATGAGCAATCTTATCTAGATGGGAACAATGCTATGCTCTCATTGTTTCATTTCCAAAAAATCTATTGAGGTGAAATTCATGAGTCGAGCATTTAACAAAACTGAGCAATCCTAGCATTTAGTCTATTCATGACATCATACGGCTGCCTCCTCTAGCTCTGAATCTGTCTGCCTTCCTTCCCAACCAAAACACCCTCCACCACCATGCTGACCACCACTGGCCACCTTTCTGTCTCTGTGGATGCACTTATTCTGGATGTTTTATGAGAAGTATATCACAGGGGGCCTTTTGTGTCTGCTCTTCTCACTCAGCATTATGGCCTCAGTAGTACCATCCATAGCTGCCAAATTGGGACTCCTTCAATAGGCACCTGTGGTATATCCATGTAATGGAATATTACTCAACCTTGATAAAAGGATCAATATCCTGATACATTCCACATACAACATATGCTGAAGGAGAGTAGCTGATTCATGTCTTTATAGCTAAA